TGATTTAACATACAGTTGTTTGCTTGTTCTATAGCGTCTGCCCATAGTTTATTGAACTTAGAAGGTATGATCCCCAAAAGGACTTTCGTTTCAAAGTCCTTGGGCAGCATAATTTTTAGCTTTGCCTATTTAGCTGCTCAGTTTCTTGTTGAGTTTGGTTTTCGTGCTTAGCAAGCGGATTTTGTGCTTGGCTATTTGCTTGCAAACGCTTTTCTTCTATCACCATAGTGATATGCGTATTCTTTTCTGATTTATACAACTGTTTTTGCATATGTGCAAATGCGAAAACACATATAGTGACAACCCATGACATCCGTGCGTGTGCATGTTAGTGCGTGTGTGTGTGTTTGTGTGCGTATGTGTGTATGTGTGTGTATTTGTGCGTGTATGTGTGTGTTTATGTGGCCGGGTATTTTTTTCAACTCGCCTGCCAAGCAAACTCTGACGCCGAAGCTTTGCTGTTGAGTTCCCCGGCCAAATACCGCCCCAGACGGTACCAGCCTTCATGCATGCCTGAGCCTTACGTACGGACGCGTGAAAGTTTTGGCTGAAAAATTACTAACTTGAGAACCAGAAGGGCTAGGAGGCTGAAATCTTAGGAGGATGTTCCCTGACTAAGTAACACACAGTTGCACAATTAAATTACTGAACTTCGAAGATCAGTATGTCACAAATTCTAGCTACTGGTACTACTAGCGATCTTATTACAGCACGAAATACTGCAAAACGCATGATTGTATGGGCCTCCCTGGTGCGCGTCGCCAGTGATTAATTTTGTTTCAGCGACTATGAGGATTTAGCTACGCCGGATGCTCGAAAGAAGTTATCATTTGAGCAGCAAGTCGATAATTATCAGACATATCGGTGTGTGTTCACATTTTTTTCAGCATTATTCTTCTTTATCTCCTAATCCTTCCTCACGCAGTTCTTCGGTATTTTTACAGTGGCTAGACGGAATCAAGACACGAGGGTAACGTGAAAATTTTTTCAGATAAGGTCATTTTAGATATGAAAGTGATTATGTTGCATATTAAGCTAAAAGGAGGAACGAGGGCAACGAAACAAGGGATCTTTTTTACATTTGTACGCGGGAAACTTAGTTTTTCTTAAGAAAATTTACGAATAAATCTCTAATAGAAAGATATTTTAAAGTAGGAGGAAGAAGAGAAGAGCAAATGATATTAAGAAATTAGTAAAAGTAGCAAAATTATCTTAATAAAATATTATAGTGGTAAGAAATGTTTGGGCCCATTAAGTCATGTACATTTCTTACCATTACTACAAGCCGTGTTCGCCTGTACAGATTTAAGATAAAACACCAACAGAATTTTAGCATTTCTTTGGTAAAAGTCACGTTTGAATTAGGATTTGCCTTGCTTACAGTATGTGTTTTTGCAGCTGCTTTATTTCTAAATGTTTTCAGTGATTCTGAAGAGAAAAACTCCAAACAGACAAGCTCATCGCATAAAATTTTCAGCTACGGTTAGTTCTTATGTCTTTTGTAGCTACAAAGCTTAACTCCAACTTGGCAATTTTAAGTCTCTATCGGTCTTTTTAAGATGCCGCATAGCTTATTTTCGTTGTAAACTTCTGTTTTCTCGATTATGAGTGATTATTGCATGGGGAGCAGGAGTAGAGGGGGGGGGGGGGGGGGGGGGGGG